GGAATGACATTCATGCGAGTCCTCGCAGCGAGCTGCGAGGAGCTTCGTGCGAGGACTGGAAATCCGCCTTAAAGCAGTGAACTATACACATTATATAGTTCAGTGGTCTAAAGTTCACCAATATTGCGGGCGTGGGTCATTGTGCGTGTTTCGGTGGGCGGTCATCTCACTGATCTCAAAATATGGCTGTTTGCCAGGAGTGAAGAAGGCAAAAAATATAATAAATACATGTAAGAAAGCTTGGAAATCGTTTCACATAACAAATTGTAAAACTTCTTTACAATTTTTAAACGTAAACATTGATAGGAATTGATATAGTATGATAAATCCTAAAGTATAAGCCAAGTTTGTTTCAAATGTTTATGTATGACTTTGCATTAATAAAGACTTTGTTCTTGATGTTCAAGTCTTTCCTATGCATTGTTTGTGAAAGTTTCTTAGTTAAATTAAGTTTTGTAGAAGTTCATGATAAAAAGGAAAGCAAATTATTTTTATTAGCGTCCTGCATGAATTAAAATTATTTCATTTCAATTAGCCTGCGAACAGGCCCTGGGTTGCGGGCGGCGCGAAGAATAGAGGGCCTGCACGGATGATAGGTTTTCTTGGTAGTGGCGTTCGTATAGAAACGCAGGCTTCTGATTGGCTTACACTCGTTGACAAAATTACTAAAAATAGCAAATGTCAACAACAGCATTTTGAAGAATTTGAACTTTATTCATTTTAATATTATATATTATAGGACTATGAGACTATCGAACAAATAAAACTAGAAGTGGAAACCAAAAGCAATAGCAAAGCATCACAGCAAAAAAGTCTATCATAAATGACTTGAATCTATCGCTTAAATCCAATATACGAAACTATAACAGTATTCTGAACTTCGTCTTCGGATTGACATCAGACCATAGTATAGTACATTTTGAGGTCGTCGTGGCTTCACGGATTATTCTCATTGGTGAGCAAGTCAGCAAGCGAAGGCATACAAAAGATACCCAAATATGTACGAATAATTATATTGTCGATCCTCGCTGGCATGTCATTTAGATAAATATATATCGTACATTAAACGTTGTACTGTTTACTGTATATTAACTGCTGACAATTTCGTCGTCGATACGGCTTCCACTATTGGCACACTCGTGATTTCGAAGAAATTAACAAATACATGCTCATTTATCATTTATTTAGACCACAGTTAGTAAAATTTTAGACGTATTCGGTATTCCAAATCCCAATCTATCTGACCGTATTTTAGTAATAGCTTCAAAATATTCAGAACATTGTTCTTTCAGTCGCACATAGTACAAGTACTACTGTACATTCAAAGCCAATGGTAGTTTATTCGGCTTTATATTTGTATGTGTATTGATATCTATTTAATATTTGAAGAATTCTATATTTTTCCGAGTAATATATTGCGCGGCCCGCTAATGCTTTGTATTATTATTGTTCATGTTGCACAATGTACACGCCTTGCGTCAATTTGACAGTTTATTTATCGCAGTCGACGCTGATTGGTTAGCGTTTAGCAGATGCGAAAAGGCGATGAATGAATAAAACGCATGGTTCCGTGCAGGCTCACCTTTCTCCCAGTGAGCCTGTTCGCAGGCTACATTTCAATGTGCAAGTAATAAGTTGAAGCTCGAGTTGACGAGTTTACAAATGTCGGCAAAAAGCAGTTAATTTCAATTCACATTTAAAAACGTTTTACGTAAAGTTTCGTTTTGAATTTTACATTAAAATAAAGCGCATAGAAAACAAAATACTAGAAAATACATGCATGCAGAAACCCTAGCCCACAGGGGGTCCAACTAAGAGCTGTGTTATGAGTATGAATAAAACATTAATAAATCGTAATATGAATAAAACATCATAACGTAATATATTTAAATTATTGCACTTACTTGTATAAATCATAAGAGCTTGTATTTCCAGTGAATAGCTTCAAACATGGCGCTTATATATGTTCAGAAACATTGCTTCAAACGATTGTTCAAATATGGCGAATAAATTGACAAAACGAAAATATTACATGACGTTCCAACGAAAATAACAGCAAGGATTGCGGGCGCGAGCGGAAGGCGAGGGTAATAGATATTAATAGAAGGGATGAAACACCGGTAATGCGATCGTGTGATGTGTTCCATAAGTAGCCTGTTCTCTCGGAAAATTCCAAAACGCCTCCTGCCAACTCCAACAACGCCTAAGCGCTTAATTAATGAAAATAAACAATGTTTAGCTATACCGGCTAATATGAAATATTTAAATGTAGCGACCAACGGGTTTTTTTACATTATTTAGTTTTATTATTATTTCGTCATACGTCACGAGAACAGGCTACTTATGGAACACATCTCGCGAAAATGGCCAAGAATGCTCGCTGTTATAAATCACATAAATTAGATTGATCAGTGCTTTTTTGGTAATGACTAGGCTTGTTCATGTAAGAGAACATCGACTCAGCCTTAAAAAACCCACAAAAAGCTTAAACGGATAGTCTAGAAGCATTTTAAAAAGTCACGTGATATTTGTTTCATCCCTTTTATTTATTTCTTCCCTCGCCTTTTCGCTCGCGCGCCCGCAATCTCTGCTTCTCTGCTGTTATTTTCGATAGAACGTCATGTAATATTTTCGTTTTGTCAATTTATTCGCCATATTTGAACAATCTTTCGAAGCAATGTTTCTGAAGATATATAAGCGCCCTGTTTGAAGCTATTCACTGGAAATACAAGCTATTATGATTTATACAAGTAAGTGCAATAATTTAAATATATTACGTCATGATGTTTTATTCATATTACGATTTATTAATGTTTTATTCATACTCATAACACAACTCTTAGTTGGACCCCCTGTGCCTAGCCTTGCTGACAAAACCATTGTATTTTCCGAACATGAAGTATCTAAAGTAGTTGCCATGGTAACACGAAAATTTCTTAAGAATATTCTTACAAATGAAAAATCGCCTAAAAATATACAAAATTATCAATTTCCCAACATTTATATGTTAGGTATGTTATTATACGTAATATAGGCTTCAATTTAAGGTAAAATTCAACCACAAACGCTTCGCAAAACGTTTTAAAGTGTTCTTTATAAAACTAAACTGCCTTTAATTAAATGGCTTTATCGATAAACTTTGAGTTTGCAATGAAATATGATTTCAACTTCTCGCATGCACATAAATTTACTTTCTTTATTTAAAAAATTCAATATAATAAAAAAGGAAATCAATATTAAAGATACACTGAAATTATCGTCGGGTTTTAAAGCAATTATAAAATCAATATTTAAAGCAAACTTACCTTCGTTAACGTAGGCTCCCTTCTTTTAGCCGATTCTTTCACCCTTTCTTTCTGAGAATGCGTTTGAAATTTACAAAATCTTGCAAAAAATGCGAGCAAAAATGAAATATATTTGCAAGAAATTTATCAATCATCAAATCAAGAAATGTTTGCTATTTCGCTGTCGTCATGCAGTCGTTATAATGCAAAATTGGACCAATCAGTGTCCGCTATTCATGACAGTACGCCATATTTTTTAGATCAGAGAGGATCACCACACACCCAACACTCGAACACCGGTGACCCACGCCCACGATCATTGATGAACTTTAGACTTCGCTAATGCTTTCGTTTCCCCGGGTGTAAATGGACGGGGGGAATTAGTACCCTCGCACGGCACTTCGCGCCGTCGGCACCTACTTTATATACTTTAGAAATTGATTTGTACAAAAATTAAAAACAATTATCGTGTTGCCATGATTAACATGACGTGCAACGCGAGCCTGGGTTCAGTGTTGCGTAATTACGATTATTATATAAACATATTAAGTGTTATATAGAGTTTTTGGCCACTGAGAAAAATTGTATTTAAACACACGTAAAAAATACGATATTAAAGATACACTGAAATTATCGTCGGGTTTTAAAGCAATTATAAAATCAATATTTAAAGCAAACTTACCTTCGTTAACGTAGGCTCCCTTCTTTTAGCCGATTCTTTCACCCTTTCTTTCTGAGAATGCGTTTGAAATTTACAAAATCTTGCAAAAAATGCGAGCAAAAATGAAATATATTTGCAAGAAATTTATCAATCATCAAATCAAGAAATGTTTGCTATTTCGCTGTCGTCATGCAGTCGTTATAATGCAAAATTGGACCAATCAGTGTCCGCTATTCATGACAGTACGCCATATTTTTTAGATCAGAGAGGATCACCACACACCCAACACTCGAACACCAGTGACCCACGCCCACGATCATTGATGAACTTTAGACTTCGCTAATGCTTTCGTTTCCCCGGGTGTAAATGGACGGGGGGAATTAGTACCCTCGCACGGCACTTCGCGCCGTCGGCACCTACTTTATATACTTTAGAAATTGATTTGTACAAAAATTAAAAACAATTATCGTGTTGCCATGATTAACATGACGTGCAACGCGAGCCTGGGTTCAGTGTTGCGTAATTACGATTATTATATAAACATATTAAGTGTTATATAGAGTTTTTGGCCACTGAGAAAAATTGTATTTAAACACACGTAAAAAATACGATATTTTTACGTGTGAAAATATCATTTGTTGTAAAACGCATTGCCACGGACGTTTTATTGTTTTTCACTGAATTTTGTAAACAGATAAATAATAAACAGAAAAATACATGGGTGCTTAGAAATACCAGATTTATTTCTCGTGTTGAACATGATATCTCACTCGTTCGCTGCGCTCACTCGTGATATATATCATGTTCAACACTCGAAATAAATCTGGTATTTCCGCGCACCCATGTATTATTCTCTATATATACTTCATATTGAAACAATTTTTGGAAAATATAGGCGAGGGGTACGTTGTTGCATGCATGTGTTTCTAGCTAAGTAATTTAAGATTATTGCAGTCCACAAACAACCATGCATGTAGTGGATTGGAACAAAGGCTGTACTATTCATTTTTCAGACAATAGTACAGGCCTAATAAGCTTTTCATAAGATTGCATGCTCAGCTACCTTGAAATATCGGATCAGTCTCTTTGGTCACTTGAAGGTTGCTATCCACAAGAAATGTGCCATTATTTGTAATATTAAGTGCATTGAGAAATTCTTGCTGTAAATTTATATCATTCACGCCAATTGTATCGTTAAACGTTACAATGAAGTCGACGCCCACTGACCCGTTACTGAAAGAATAAAATAAAAAACGGTTTGAGAAATAAAATAATTGTCTGAATCTACAGAGTACAGTACCTTGCTTTTCGTCCTCTACACTGAAAACCATAACTAGACACGTAAAAAATAATCACTTACTATATTCTTATAATAACGATTCTGACAAAGATAGCTGCAAAGCGCGTACTTCTGAAAGTTATCTCCAACTAGAAGATGGAACACTATTATTATTTAACAATTATTTGCCGACAGCGAAGTCGAGGTGAATATTCACCGATAATCACTGAACCTGAAGCCTGGCGCACACGATGCGATTTTAGTCGGCCGAAAAAAACCTTTGACTAAAACTAACAAAATCGTTGTGTGTGCGGTGTCATTTTTAATCGATTTTTGTTGCTCGATTTTAATCGGACAACATCGAAACGTTTTGATATTATACGACTTTTATCGGTGGAATTTTAAGTATAACCAATCAGATTTCATGCTGTGATCACGTGCTTGTATTTATTTGGCAACATGGCGGCTACAGTTCAGGGAGCGTATTTTTTTCGTAATCGTGTGCGGAGTATACCGATGTATATCGGTATGTCAAACGATTTTTATCGGCCGACTAAAATCGCATCGTGTGCGCCAGGCTTGAGGCGAACGATTGTTTTAGTATAAATGTTCTAACCAAATAAAACAAGCTATCCAAATGTCATTTTACGATTTCAGAAATAAAACTTTTCAGTCGGTTCACGGTTACTGTTTTAGTGCTACAGACTACAGTGCTTCTTCTACGCATGACATTAATAACTTAAACAATGTCGCCGCAGTGCTAATTAAGGTGGCTCAATACAGTTTTTGAAATATGACGAAATTGTGATTTAGATTTAATTTTTTGAAGAAAGGTTTCTTGCTAGAAGACAAAAATTGTACCACATATATTGAGCAATCTTCTAAGAGTTGAAAGTTGTTCGCAGAAATGACGTCATCGCCGTTGCTATGGTAACAATGACGTTTCAATATGACCGACATTTTACCTTTTAACACATTTTACTCGAAAAAAGGGCCGGTTACCCCCATTTTTTATTTCGTGAAACGTTTTCATTCAGAAAAATGAACGATGTGAACAAGTTTAAAAAAATTCTGTAGATCCAAAAAATATTATTTATCACGAAAAATAACCTTTTTTAATTTTTTAAAAATTCTGATCTACAGAATTCTTTCTAACTTGTTCATATCATTCATTTTTCTAAATGAAAACGTTTCTCGAAATAAAAAATGGGGATAACCGGCCTTTTTTCGAGTAAAATGTGTTAAAAGGTGAAATGTCGGCCATATTGAAACGTCATTGTTACCATTGCAACGGTAATAACGTCATTTTTGTGAACAATTTTTATCTCTTAGAATCTTGCTCAATATATGTGGTGCCTCTCTTCAAGAAGAAGAAATTAAATCTAAACCACGATTTTGTCATATTTCAAAAAATTATTGAGCCGCCTTAAGCTACACATTCATGCATGTGGAAATATTGTATTATACAATGTGTTGCTTTTGGTTTCTACACCGCAATTCGCCGCAATTCAAATTTATGCGATGGTGAATATTCTTAAACATGAATAATAATAATAATCCCCAAACTCCCCGAGCCAACCGCGCGGAGCGCCGTTCCGGGCGTTAGCCCGGGGCGAGGGTACTAATTCCCCCTGGCTATTTACACCCGGATAAAGGAACGCAATAGCGAAGCTTGATACCGTGGGCGCATGGCTATGATCACCAAATACCGTGGGCGCATGGCTATGATCCAAGGGTGGACCTCCTCACTGATCTCAAAAATATGGCTGTTTGCCAGGAGTGGGATAAGCACACTGAGTATATTAGGGAAAGATTTCAATTTTCAAAAGCGTATATTTGGAAAATCACGCTTCACACAATGAGCTTTGAAGCAGTTTTTTGTTTGAAAAATGAGAAGAATTGATTTACTGTGGAAAATCGTGAAATATAGGGCAAGTTCGCTTTGAATGTTTAATGTTTATGACTATGAATTTTGTTGCTTTAATAATTTATTGCGTAAAACATGCACTGCTGTTTTCCTTTTCAAATAAGCTGTAAGTTTCCTAAAGTACCCTGTTTAATTTAAGAAAAAAAGTTAAATGTAAAGGAGAGCAAATTAATTTGAAGACCTAAATTAAATTATTCAACAATTTGATGTAAAAAGAGTTTATCGGCAAAAGCGGTTTAGTTATTAAAATGAACATTTCAAAACATTTTACGAAGCAATTCAGGTTAATTTTAACAGTAAATCAAAGCTCACAAAATCCAGAATAACATACCTACAGTACATATTTCGGAAAGTCATTGTTATGTAGTTAAAAGCAATAATCTTTCGACTATTTTTGCCGTGTTGTACAAAAGTATAATAAAAATTAAAATTATCGTATCGTGTTACCATGGCAACACTGACGTAAACGCGAGCCTGCGTTCATCAGTGTTGATCAATTGCTAATACTTCATGTTAAATCAATGTTTGGAAAATATGGGCGAGGGGTTGCTGCGTGCATGTATTTCTAGTAATAATAATAAAACTACATGACTGAAAAATTAAGATGTCGATACCGCAGTGATGATTTCTTCTGTAATATCATAATATTCCCTGCTGCTTGTGTTGTCATACCCTGGTTTGTATTCACGATTACTAATCGCTATGCTACCCTGGATAGACGCTGCCACATCTAGGGAGAATAATCGATTGTATCTAAATTAAGATAAGTTGAGGTGAAGCAACCGGTTAAATAAGTAACTTTTATCCACATGATGGATAACGTACAGTACCAAAGGCAAAGTGTTTAATGGGAGAGTGCAAGAGAAGGTTGGACAAGGTAAACGTAAGGTAAGGTAAGGTAAAGTAAGGTAACGTAACGTAAGGTTGTACGTAAGGTTACGTAAGATAACGTAAGGTAACGTAAGGTAGCGTAAGGTAATGTAAGATAGCGTAAGGTAAAGTAAGGTAAGGTAAGGTGACGTGAGGTAAGGAAAGGTAAGGCTAGCTTGCCTAGCAGCTCTCAGGTGGGGGGGGGGGAGGACAGAGAGGGAAAAATAAAGGGGGAGGGGAAAAAATTAGAGCCTGAACGAGATCTACTGTTTTTCCATTCCCGCCCCTGCAAGCTACGCCCACTTTTAACTAAAATCAAAATTGGCCAATCACAAAGATTGTTTACGTTTGCAAATTTACTTGTCAAAACGAAATAATATAGATTACTTACGCAAAAACCAATAATATATGGATGTCGGCTAAAGAAAATATAAATCCCCAAAGGGGACGTCAAACAAACGTTGTCGCGTATGTAAGAAGTCTTAACGTTTATGTACGGAACACAAAACTTATTCAAACCAAGTCAAAGACGTTTTGGGGAGGTCATTGCTGAACGATTGACGTTCGTGGGAAAACTAGCGCTAGAGCAGTCTCGTGGATACGTGCAAATTAGTTTTGACAGCGGTCAACCATGATGTAAATGTCAAAGTTTTGAGCGGTGCAGGAAAGAGAAAGGTGTCTGAAGCCGTCATTACTGAGAGAGCAAGTACTGTTCGTAAGCATCCACGGAAAATCTCTCCTGGGGCAAACTACCAAAATCATCAGCTACAAAATCATCAAGAAAAAGTCTATTTGTCATCGATGAAAACGAACACGCATCCAATGAAGACACCACACCCACTGTATCTCTCTTCATGAACAAATTCGTAAACACTTTTTTGTTCATCCCTACATGTAAAATCAACGAATGCAAAACTTTCAAGAAGCACCATTCAAATGCATACGCCATGTTTATTCACAATTTATGCCATCAATCAATGATGAGTTTAGCATAAATTAGCATAATTTTCGTTTTGAACCAATCAGATTTCTCGTTCTCGAATATAAACGGCAAAATATGCATGGGTTTCGTACAGGCTCTCAGTTTCCCTGAGAGCCATTACGCAGGCTAGGCAGGGCAGGATAGAAATGGTAAATTTAGGTATGGTAGGATTAGGTAACATGTAGCAAGACGAGGCAAGTTGGAGTAATATAAGGTGAACTCGGCAGTGCCGTAGCCAGAACGATAATTGGGGGGAGGCACATATTCATATATTTGTGTTCACACACCATAAAAACAATTCGATTTCAAAAGAAATTAATTAACCAGAACACGAATATATGAATATGTGCCCCCTCCCCCCAATTATCGTTCTGGCTACGGCACTGGAACTCGGGTAAGGTAGGTCAACGCAAGATATAGAACGTTATATAAAATACGATATAGAAAATATTAAATATAGATTTGAGAGTCCCATCCAATTCTTTAGAAAAGAAGTTTAGGGCAAACAGCAATTATTATTCTTAAGTTGCACGATAGCTCGTCGACACCTGAAAAAATCAGGTATGTGAAAAGAGTAGCTGAGTTCGTCTTTAAATCCATAGGCACACAAAGCTATTGTATTGTTAAGTGCTCCGTACATACCAATACATGCTGATTCGTCGTCATTAAGTTGTTGCCTAGGACTGATACAGTTACAGCGATATGCTCCTGGAAAGATGATACATCTTTGACCTGCTCCTGCACATTTCGGAGGTGTGGCTGTACATTCATCAACATCAACTACAGAAATAAGATATGAAGAATTGGCACTGCGACATATAAGAATCGCATTTGATATCCACGGGTTTTTCATTAATCTTCTTTTATTAACACATACATGAAAAGTCTGCAACTTAACTAGATGAAGTACTGCAGAGTGGGATCCAGTACCAAGGGCGGATTTTCATTTTTCTAAAGGAGGGGTAGAAAATGTCTGGTGGGGTGCAAGCTGCAACACTGAGCGAGCTTCGATAGGGGTTATAAACAAAATAGGAGGGGTGAAGCAAAATTTTAGTGGGGTTGAACACTTTATTTGAAGGGTTAGAGAGATTGTCCCTTACGAAAAAAGTCTATAGGTGGCCTATAGGTGCCTATTGGAAATGTTCCAATTCCCTATAGAAGCCTTTAAGCACTTATAGAGCTCTATAGGCTTATAGGCATCCCAATAGGTCACCTATAGAAAATGTTCCAATTGTCTATAAAAACCTATAGGTTTCCTATAGGAACCTATAGGTTGGCCTATAGGCTAGGCCTATAGACTTTTTTTGTAAGGGGTAGGAGAGGTTTAACCCCCCCCCCCCCGTATATCCGCCGATGGATCATACCTAAATCAAAATCTTTCTTTCTTTCTGATGAGATAAAATAAAATGCGAAAAGCTGATCGCACAACAGAATGCTTGCACAGACTTACATTTCTTGTACATAAACAAGGGCTGTCACTGAAATGTGCATAATTAATATCCGATTAAAGTTCCCAACCAAAACATAGAAAAATATTTCAATCTTATTTTGGAAAAACACTAAGCATTCCAATTAATTTTAAATGAAAAATAGGACTTCTTACTCGAACGGCAATCGGGTTCTTCATATCCATCCTTGCAAACACATATGGAGATATTGTTCACCTGGACACACTCTTTATTTTGTCCACAGGAAAGAACACTGCAGTTTGTAACTGAAATGGATTATTAATATTACTATATAACAAACACGCGTGCAGGGAGGTGAGTCTGAGCATGGTTTGTAAAATAACTCAATAGGAAACTTCCTGAAGTCACAGTCTAAACCTAGTTGCAATCTGTGACCTCACGTGTATTGCCAAAGTTCTCAGCATTTTTGTTTCACTATATTTTTCGTTTTAATAGAGTAATATTGAAGCATAAACTGGTCTAATTGTTTTAAAAACATGCCTAAGCCACGACAAAGTATTCAAGGTAAATGTTTTTCGTCTTTGTTTTGTATTTTGTTACATTTGTAGCTACGAAATTGGTGTCGCCAACTTTTACGAAATTTGCAATGCATTTTTCACTGTTTTAATAGTGCTTGAAATATTTGCTAAAATTGACCGGGAATACTTAGAGATTTCATCGTAGAATGGCCTAGGTATATTTATTTGCTCTTTCACTAAAATGTTTAGCTGTATCAGTATGGCTAAACATGCCGTTTTTGGGAATATGGTTTGCAACTAGGTTTCAACGCCATCATCCCATTGAAAACATTAGGTCACGTCAGCTAGTTTCCTATTTTGTTTTCTCAAATTGGTTTACGGTAACCAAATGGTCTTGGGCGTCCATGTCATCTGCAAAGAATATTGTTATAAGAAGCCAAGGCTTGTCGAGGGGCTACAATAGTTGCAGAACCCCGGTTAGGTCGACGTTTTGTCTGTATGGTGTTTTCTTGACAGGGGTTTTGTCGCTTGGACAGTGACATACGATATTCAGATCTGGCAATTACATCGATCTCTTCCAATGAGGGGTTTAGAGTGCGTGAGGAAGGTTCGTAATTGGTTTCTCGAGGATGTTGTTGGTAAACACTGGAAATTTCATCTTGTTTGGTTAGACAGCTTGAATCACCGGTAAGGGGATAACCAAGTGTGCATCCCATTCGGAGTTTTTCATCTGAAGCCACTTTTGATCAGTTCTGGACATTATTTAAACTCAATTATTTCAACTAATTGGCACCATGGGAGGGAGGATATCAGCGCATAATTAATCAATGTTTAAGTTTTCAGCATAAACATCGCAAAACTTCGCGCACGATATCAAATCAATAGCAATGTACCATATCTCTAAAATTACTCGCGCTACAAAGTAAAAAACTATGTTTCTAAATGCTCTTAGAATATTGATAAATAGTAAAATGAGTTACCTGCATTGACATTAACGTAGTCTAGTGACTACCAAGTCCAAATTTGTATCTCTTTTCAAATTTTTCATGCATAAATCTTTGTTGAAAGCGATATATTTATATATATATATATATATATATATATATATATATATATATATATATATATATATATATATATATATATATTAGCTCTATTATTACTTTAATAGTCCTTGACTATCAACAAAACCTAGCTCTGAATCATACAGGAGCGTTTTCTCTAATTAAAACTTAAAATTGATTGATTTTATATGATTTTATTGAACTGATTTTATATCAAATTTCATTTGTACGTTGCGGAGTGTGTATATATATAGGCCCTTCAAAGACCTTCAAATGCATTACACTTCATTTTAACTATAGTAAATTATCTCTGGGTTAAGTTTATTTTCATGGCCATGGCCATGGCTAATCAGAACTCAGAAGTATTGTCTGTGAGTATTCGACTCCACTCATGCTGTGAAGATATATGAACGAACGACAACTTTGCCTAGCTATGTCACAAAATGTTTTCTATTTTCCTTTGCAAGATAAGCAACCTTAAAGATGGCAAAGTAGGAAAGGCCAGACACGACACTTATATTGCATGTGTGAATATCACAGTACATAATAGTTGGTTAATATTATACTAAGCTCTTACATGAACTCCAACCGATTTTGGTGTCTGAAATTCTGCTAGCTAATTTGTATATCTGGTTGGTGTTTATACAAGATTTGGACAAACTCAAACCAGTCTGTCTAGTCTCGGTGTCTGACATTCAGCTACCTAAAATATATCTGAAAATATATTTTGACAAACTCAAACCGATTTAGATGTCTGAAATTCAGCTACCTATCTCTAGTTGGCATTTATATATGATTATTTTGACAAACTCAAACCGTTTTCGGTGTCTCAAATTCAGCTACCTAATTTAGCTCTAGTTGGTATTTATATATGACTTTGACAAACTAGCTCAAAACGTTTTCGGTATCTGAAATTCAGACACCTACTTTATCTCAGTTGACTTTATCTCTGCATGGTTGCATGTATTTATATATGATTTTGACAAACTTGGGTGTCTGAAATTCAGACACCTAATTTATCTCTGCATGGTTGGTATTTATATATGATTTTGACAAACTCAAACCGTTTTCGGTGTCTGGAATTCATACACCTAATTTATCTCTGGTTGGTATTTATACAAAAAAATAGTATTTCGATTTGCTAAAATGAAATCTTCGCACTTTTTGTTATTTTTTTTTAATTTTTGCAGAAAAAAAAATAGTTTGGAATTATTGGAAATAGTTTGGAACGCGCTATCATCGTTAATATTGCAAAATGCAATGTGGGTGGAAGGCAATTTGACAACATTTCATCAGACCTACGTTTCGCCCTTTCCTTTACGTTGACCCGCGAATTTTAGGGCGGGCGAAACGTAGGTCTGTTTTCAGGCTAGGAAAACATATAAATAGACACTCACCTTTACAGGATGTACCATTTCCTCTGTATCCATTCTTGCAAGAACAGTTAAAGGATCCTTCAGTATTGGAACAAGTGGCATTCTTATCACAATCGTGTGTATTTTCCAAACATTCATTTATATCTGTCGAAATAGAAAAGCATAAATATAAGGTACTTAGAACAGGATTTAATATTGATTATTATTATATGGAAGCATCACTTCCGGTGAAATGGCGGACTGTGAATGGCTGAGAAACACTTTCAGCGGTCCATTATTTTCCTGTAATTGACTGGCGATCCATTACGTGAACACAAACGCATGCAAAATTATAATTTAATTTGTTATATGTAGGCTAAAAGCCAAGGGAGAGGTTTTTCTAGTCGAAAAGGAGATGTGGGTCTTGAGTTATCCTGCAAATTCAAGTCCCGAATTCAACACTCATGCCAGGTCTTGAATTGAAAATGTAAAACCGGGTAGCCGGTTATTATTTTTTCGTAATAACCGTGTACCAGGTTATTACGAAAAAATAATAACCGGTTAGCAGGTTATTACGGGAAAATAATAACCTGCATACCCGTACTGTACCTTGACAGACAGTTCCACTTCCATTATATCCACTATTACATGTGCAAAGAAAAGATCCGTCATTATTACTACAGGTTGAGTTTGCATGGCAATTGTCAATTGATAGAGCACATTCATTGATGTCTAAAGACATACAGAAAAAGGTCCCATAAACAATTTAAGAAGACGTATAAATGTTTTCCTTTTTTTAAAAAAGTTAATATAACAACGTGAAAGTTTTCGTCGAAGTATCCTTCCAAATACTTTGTTCCAAAAACTAAGACTTCTATTTATCTTCGCAAACAGTCCTATTTCTGCAAATGCGCAAGAAAGATCCATAAGTGTTGGTGCAGTATGAATTTTTGTGACAGTTTATAATGATATACGAAAAGCATTCATCTATATCTAAAAACATTTTCCAAATAGTTTTTCTTAATTTGTCAAATGAAATAGGTGTTTCTTCAAAATATTTCCCTATAGTTCAAGTAAACACTTTGAATTCAACATTATTTATCCAACTGCAATCACTGAACTGTCATTTCTTATTTTTGCGAACGTTCTTGCTTGAGACTATGTACTTTCAACTGCAATGAAAAATCACCAACACCAATATTCCTTCGCAAACAGCTCCATTCTCAGTATACCCATTGTCACAAGTGCAAAAGAAAGATCCATCACTGTTGTTGCAGGTGGAGTTTTTTGACAGTTATGAATAGACAGAGAACATTCATCAATATCTAAAGTTATATAACACATCAGTTCTTTGTATGATTGCATGTCGATAAAATATATAACACTTTTTGTTTGTGGAAACACCACGTAAATTTATTGCTGCAAAGCTTTCGATCCGTAAGCAAGGATCTTCATCAGTGCTAATAATATGAGCACTATGATCATATTATTAGCACTGAAGAAGATCCGGGCTCACGGATGGAAAGCTTTGCAGTAATAAATTTACGTGGTGTTTCCACAAACAAAAAGTTTTATTTATATAACACAGTTGCCATTAACACCCAAGAAAGTGTAAATAGTTTATCTTTAGTAAGCAATCACATTAAAGTTTTCATCAAAGTAGTATCCGCCGCAATACTGTAATAAACTAGGGATCCAAGGATAGTGTGAAGTTTCAAATTGAAAAAGACACTGCAAGAACTATATAGGTTCGCTGACAACCTAGAAAAGCTGATCGATGGCTTACACTACGAAATAAACAATTACCAAAGGCATTTCATCTCATTATCTATTGCGAGAGAGTATCTATACACGAGTAGCGTGACGTTTGAAACAACCCTAACACATCAGAAACATGCCTTGTGAAACTGACACAATTTATCTATTTATTGTGATGCTACACGCATGCTAAATTTTAATTGTTTCACCAACAACCAAATTTTGTATATTCGAAATTTTCATTTGCATTTGCATTTGCATTTGCAGCTGTCGCTAAAAGCATCCCCACGAGGCTACTGCTATGCTAAACTTATCTAAAACTATTATTGAAATAGCTGTATACGATATGTTATGAATAATGAGCACTACGTCGTTATATCAGTGAAAGGAAGCATTTATCTTCATCCGTTCCGTATTTTATCCGCATATCCGTTCCGTGGTCCGCTCCATCCTCTTCCGCATTTTAATCTAATTGTGACATGTTTCACAATAACAAGTCTCATTGACCTTTGACTTTTCGAAGGTTACGTTGTGTCTATTTTCAGCTTTTCGCATGTGTTGAATAATGTCACTTTAGATTTCAATAGTTTCACAGTTATGCATGAGTCAATTCCAGGAGTAACCATCC